CAGGTTCTCCTGACAGGAACTGTGGCCTGTGGAGGCTCCGCAGGAGGAGGAGAGAGAACACCTGTTATGCCCTGACTGTCTCTCTCCCAATTCCCGATCTCCCTGCACCCCTGGAGGGGAGGTAGGTCCATCAGGAGTGAAGGTGGAAAGTTGAGCCCTGGGAAAAAAGGGGTGGGTGAGGGTAAGGGGTTGTGTTAGTTTTGTCTTTGTTTCTCATTATCCAAATCAATTGTAATTGGTAATAAATCAAACCAGTTTTCCCCAAGTCACAGTCTGCTTGCCTCTGACAGTGATTGGTAAGGGAGCACCATATTTTTACATCAGCCCATCAGCTTTTTCATCTTATCTCCCCCCTGTCCTGTGTGGGGAAGGGGAGAGACAGCACAGTGAGTGGACATCTGGCAGCTGGCCATGGTCAGCCCACCACAGCAGCAGACATTCATTTCTGCTACCCTAAGTGCTATTGGTGCCAGAAATGCTTGGCACAACCCCTGTGGTGTGGCTTATGGAAAGCCAGATGACTGTTGTTCATAAAAAACTGGGATAGAAGTTGTTTCTCTTAAGGTTTCCAACCTCCCTTGGCTGTGCTCTAGTTCTGTGGTGTCTCTGCCATCCACAGGTGTAAGACAGATGTGGTGGCGAGGTAGAAACAACTACATTTGACTGAGTGGAAGGGTGAGCCTTTCCTTGGCCAAGAGGTGTCCAGGGCAACAGGTGCTGCATTAATAACCTTTGTGTTAACAGAAATAGTAACTTTAATTTTTTTTTATAGATATGGGAACTGTGAACAGTGCTGGTGTGGCTGTGTGCTCTCTCTCTGCTCACTGGAAAAGAGGTTTTCCATTGTCAAACCTGAGTCTCTGGGACTGTACCCCTTATTGTTGCTGCTTTTGCTTCCTTCTTCCTCCTGAGAGAAAGGTTGGGAATTGAGGGGATTTAATCCCAATTAGTGCCTGGCACGATGCAAAGGTAGACAGCAAATCCAGGACCAGATTCAGGACCTGGGAAGTTGTAGCAGTGAGACAGGGCAGAGGTATTTCAGGGGAAGGGAAGCTTTAGGATCTGTAAGAGTGGGAGTTCAGTTGTTTTCCCACAGAGGGTTTGGAGTGGTTTCCATTGCTGTTCTATGTGGGGTATCTGTATTTTTAATCCTGTTCACTGGAGCTCACTGGAGGGGATCACGTGTGTTTTGTGCAGTGTTGAGTGGTGGCCAAGCAGCTTTCATTCAGTAGTCCAGTTCCAGCAAGGGATTCCTGTGCTGGTGCCATCACTAAAGTAGGAAAAATCTGGCTTGGATATTCCATGAGGTTTCTGATGTTGTAGTATTTCAGAATTGCATTGCTTCCAGGAAAAGGCTCGTCCTGACTTTGAATGCCTCCCTGAAGAGACTGAACTCATTGGGAGTGCGTTGCCAATTCCTGGCAGATGGGGCTGGTGAAGATGACAGTGACATGTGCAGGGACACTTCACTGGAATTTCCTCTTTCCCTCTCCACCATGTACTCTGATGTATTTGGAGTCCCAGAGGCTTGCAAAACAAAGATGTGATTCATGGTATTCTGCACATACTTTGTGGTAACTGTATTAATGCAGGAAGTTTATTTGTGGTCACTAAACCTTCAGTCATTTAAATCAGATTTAATCGTGGTTTAGGAGCAAAATTTCAGCCTTCCTGGAATCAATGGCAAAACCACTGTGGCCACTGGGATGAGATTTGACTTGTGGTGCTTTAACAAATGTGCCTCCTAAAAAAGCTTTCTGCTCCTAATTGTATTCCTTTGTTCTTTTCCCTCAGTCTTGTGAAGAAAACAATCTGAAGACAATGCATCCGTGACCCCTGATCCCAGTTTGCAAGTCAGGGCAATGGAAGTAGAGCATACTCCTCCCGTGACAGTTCCCAATGGATTTGCAAACAGGATTTTCCAAGCAAGCATGGAGGAAGGGAGCACTGATGCGCTGGAGGCCTGTGGTGCTGAGCACTGCACCTCCAGCGACGCAATCCCGAGCGAGCAGGAGGAAGCACCCAGATATAAGAAGACGACCAAGGGCAACCGGATTTGGAATTTCGTCAGACGAAAGAAAGGACTCTCCACGAGTAAAGACAGACCTCAGTCCATGATCCTGCTGGGAGTTACCTCTGAGGTCTCGGAATTGAAAAAGCCATCCTTCATGGAGAGGGTACGGTCATCAAAAAAGGGAAGATCCTCCAGGACACCCAAGAACGTGGATTTGAGAGCATCCAGAGCGCAGGTGGCGTGTGACCCCGAGGAGGAGCCTCCTGCCAGCAGGCAGAGAGCTGTCTACAGGGTGAAAAAGCTGGGAGACGGTCGGAGGCCCTCCCGCCACTCGTACGCGGGGTACATCGAGGATTTGGATTCCTCTTTTGAAGACATAGAGCTGAACATCAGCATTCCTGAACTTGATGCCACTGAAAGTAAATGTCTCAGGGATATTAGTGTCAGATTACACAGTGAGGATAATGATGGTAACTGCCACAGAATACCAGCCAGAAAGAGCGAGTCTTTGAATTTTGAAAACCTTAAGAGTCCTGCAGTTGCAGAAGGGGACAATCAAAAGAGGTGTGCTGTGCTCCCGCAGGAGAGCCGGAGAGGAAGGAGCTCTGATGTCTGGAGCTATCTGAAAGGAATTTCATTAACTAGCAAAGATAATTCAAAGCTTCCAGATCAAAGGGCTGAAACCAATTTCCAGAACTTAGAAAATAAAACTGATCATTCCTCTTCTTATTTTGACTTTGATACGAGATGTGAGGAGAATCCCAGCCAGCGGAAAAAATCCAATGGTGCCGCCAAGGCCACTCACTTTGGGGGGGTTGTGAGGTTCCTGACCAGCGTGGCCGAGGCAGCTCGAAGGCTGCGAGGCTCCTCAAGGGCGTTTTCCCCCGATGAGAAGAGGCCTCAGCGGAGTTTCCGAGGCTGGAGGCAGGATGTTGCCTCCCACAGAGAGGGCTTGGTTATTGAGAACGAGAGCGCAAAGGCCTTCTGCACGGTGGGAGCATGTCTGCAGTCCCCAGATTCGGGCACGTGGGAGAACCTGAGCTTTGAGAGTGTGGTGGGGAAGGAGCCCATGCAGCATTGCAGAACCACGGAAGGATCCAAAGAGGTTGGTTCCTCTGCCCTGGGCAGTGGGAATGACAGGGTTAATGGAACGTCACTTTTTCCTTTTGGGCCAGAACCATCCATCTCCCACCTGCCAGAGCTTGCAGATGGCTCTTTCACTGAGCTAAATAGCAAAGAGCCCTCTGAGGATCTGATTGAACTTCCCCAGATGACTCTGACTGACACGATTCAGGACTTGGGCAGTACTTCAGAAAAGACACAGGTCATGGGCAGAGACCTGCCACTTTCTCACGATCTTCCTATGAATAGTCTGGATGCTGTGGACCTGCATCCAGAAACTGAGGCTCAGATCCACCTTCCACTGGCATTGCTGACTAAACTTGATACTGAGGACATGTCTTGTGCTCCAGTGGTTGCTAAAGACATGGATCCATCTCCAGCAGTGGCTCAGGAGCTTTCAAAGGCAGAACTGGATATTCAGGACTTGAGAAATCCTGAGCTGCCTTTGCAAGACTCGTCTGGAGGTGAGCTGGGGACTCAAGACACTGGCAGTACCCTAGAGAGGATCGTGGGCAGGGACCTGCCACCTTCGCAGGATCTTGCTGTCAGTAATCTGGACGCTGCAGACCTGGGCTCTACTCCAGCTGCTGATGGTGACTTTTCTACAGTGACCAAGGCTCAGATCCACCTTCCACAGACATTGCCGACTAAACTTGGTACTGAGGACGTGGCTTGTGCCCCAGTGGTTGCTAAAGACACGGATCCATCTCCAGCAGTGGCTCAGGAGCTTTCAAAGGCAGAGCTGCATAATCAGGACTTGAGAAATCCTGAGCTGCCTTTGCAAGACTCGTCTGGAGGTGAGCTGGGGACTCAGGCCTCAGGCAGTACTCCAGAGAAGGCACAGGCTGTAGGCTGGGATGTGCCACCTTCTCAAGATCTTCCTGTGAATAAGCTGGATACTGTGGACTTGGGCCATTCTCCAGCTGCCAATGGCGACTTCTCTACAGTGACTGAGACTTTGATCCACCTTCCAGAGACAATCCCAACTGAGGAGACTGAAGACACTGTCAGTGCTCAGGAGAAGAGTCAGAACATGGGCAGGGACCTGCCACCTTCTCAAGATCTTCCTGTGAATATTCTGGATGCTGCAGACCTGGGCTGTTCTGCAGTTGCTGACGTTGACTTCTCTGTAGTGACTTTCTTGAAGTGTTCAACAGTGAAAAGGCAGGTTTTGGAGCAGACTGATGGCCGCTTTAAGAAGCGGGGAGCCACTTCATTTGTAGAACAGAACTCTGTGGAGATCACAGAAGGAGCGGAAGAGTTTAACTGCAGCTCAGAGTACCAGCCTTTCCAAGTGCACGTCTCCAGGATTGTCTCCTCTGGGCGGCTCAAAAATGGAAAGGTAGGAGTAACTTTGAGTAATGTGAGTAACTTTTACTATAATATCTGCACTGTTGTACATCCTAGGAAGCTGGTTTGTATGTGAAAGCATTTTTATACATCCTCATTGGACTTTTCAGTTCAGTAGATCATTCTGTGAATGGTGGCAGTAGACACAGCTTTTATATCAGTCTGAGTTACCTGGCATATCCCTGAGCTCTTAGTTAAACCTCCAGAGCTGCTTCTCCTGCAGCCCTTTGGCCATTTGTGTGTATCAGTACCTCTAGAAGAGGGTGGAGCAGAAGTTGGATGTAGGCACTACCTTTAATTTTTTTCCTCTTTACATTTAGTGCATTTGAAGTAGAAGCTCTTGAGAAGAGTGGTTTTGGCAAATGGAGAGTTTTGAAGTGTGCTGTGGACAAACAGCATTCAGCAATTGCACTGTGGCCCCTGTGTTTTCTTACCTAAAATGACAGTAGAGGTGGTAGGTTTTGGTTTTTACTGAATGATGGTGGTCACAACACAGCGTCCAGAATAGCTGTCAGAGTCCTGGCATGGAGTGCAAGAACAGAAAAATAAAAACACGTCTCGAAGAGCTCACTGAGTCATTGCTCTGGCAGATCTACTGAGCTTTGTCCCTGCTCCAAACATGTCAGAAGTTGTGTGGCATCAGTAGTTTGTGCTGAGCCTGTAGTGGAACGCCTTGCTTAGGATCTGGGTACATAATATGAGCAAAATACCTTCTTAATGTGACTCTATGCCAAGAGGGGTCTGGTCAGCACTTCCCTGCATCTGTCTGTACACAAAATGATGTTTCCTTTTGGGATGTTAAATACCCAGCCCTGAATGAGAGGTGGGCAGTGATGGTGGCTCTAATCACGGCAGGACATTCCTGTTTGGTACAAGCAAGTCTTTCAAAGCCCTTAAAATTGTCAAAACATTTAAGTGGACATTGTATTGTGCAGTAGGTTCCGGGTATTACAAACCTGTCTTGTCTAGCTTAATGCTAGGAAACCTCAGAAGTCCCGTGGATAAGGGAGGGAGATGTATGGCATGAGAAAAGGGCTCCTGAAGCTGACAGACTATCCCATAACTCTCATCCCATCGCTTTATCACCTGCACAAGTGTATCTGTGCAGCAGAAAGTGTGAGCAGTGACAGTCCTATCAGCTGTGCCAGTCTCTGTCACTCTGTGCCAGTTGTGGAATTGTGGGAAAACCATGGCAGGACCCAATGTGATCAGCTCAGCTGGTTCCCTGCTGATGAGACGAAGCTGAAATTATGACTTTTTTTTTTTAAGGTGCCAGGTAGGGAAATTGGGTCAGTTTTGTGAAGAAACTTCCTCCTTTCCTTTCGGGCTTGGAGAGACCAGAGATATTCCAGAAGTGATGACGCTGTTCCCTGTTGGAAAAGGGGTCACTGTAGCTTCTGAGCCAAGAGGGGAAGCGTTTGAAAATTGGCAGCAAATTAGAAATGATGGGGGGAAACAATCTGAAGTTCTGACTCCTAGCTAAAACGGGCAGGAGCATTGTTAGCTATTCCTGGATTTGTTTTTCTGCTCTGTTTTGTGTAATACAACAAATTACGGACAGCTCACTGTGTAATTCCAGGCACTCCAGAGGTGGGGCGAGTAGTGGTTGCTCACTTCTTGTGGTCTCTGGAAGAAATGTTTTTAGGAGGAGCTTGAGAGGGCTGTGGTTTGATATCCCTTCGCAGGGACTAAGCAAGATAAGAGAGGCACCAAAGGATTGAGTGGAGCAGAGAAGAACAGTGCAGGGCAGCCATATCTCCACTGGCTGAGGGCAGTGGCTGCATGTGTGGTCCCTGGGCAGAATCCCAGCTCAGCTGTGTGAACAGGAGATGCTGTAAGTCCCAGCTCAGCTGCTGCAGGTTACAAACATTACCAAGAAGCTTAAATATGGTGCTTGAGATAACTGGGCAGGAAACCTCCCCCGCGTTCCCGTCGAGCGTGGCGGTAGCAGCGCGACCTCTGGGCTGCCGCCGCTTCCTCCCTGGGCAGGAGCAGCCGTGGGGTGGAAGGGAGAGCAGAGAGCCCCCTCCTGGGTTGTAAACACCTCCTGCATCCCAGAGACTCACCCTGCAGATTTGGAAATGGATTGTCAGCAGCAGCAAACCCGGAGCAGTCAAAGTGAGGCTAATGGAAGGATGCTCTGGGATGGGAACAGACCTGGAGAGTCCTCCAGCAGCTCCAGTAACAACTGACCTGAGATCCCCCAGGGATTTGCTCGCCTATCTCTCATCAGGGAGCGGCACTTGGAAACGTTTGACCAAAAATAAACGTGGAAGAGGAGGAACTTCAGCCTGAGCGTGACAGCGGCAGCAAACTCCAGCCTCTTATTGTTTTAGGGCTAAATCCAGCTCTTTGCTGGCACCTGTTCCCCAGGACAGTTGTTGGCCCTGCTGCCTCCAGGCTGCTGTGATTAACTGAAGGCTTTGTATTTTAAGGGAAATGCTCAACCTCAAGCAGGGAGAAGGTGCTGCCAGGCCAGGGTGGCTTGGCTTGGCTTGGCTTGGCTTGGCTTGGCTTGGCCAGCTGCTGTAGGCAAGTTCCCCAGCAGTTTTACAGTTTGTGAGCAGTGTAGGGAAGAAAGTATTTTCCAAACAACTTCCACATTGTCCCACAGAAAGCGCAAAAGTACTGGTTCCTGCTGAGGCTCGTGCCCAAATCTGTGAGGAGCTGATGTGAGAGGCTGAGGCTGGTGTAGTACCAGGGATGCTGGAGTGGTGTTTGGGGGACATACATGTTGGTTCTGGCAGTAAGTAAATCTGTTTAGCTGTACTCTCCTGCAATTAATGCTCCTGTTTCTTGCTTTCCTGGCCTTGCCTTTTAAAGTTGTAATGTCTTTGGGCAGGAGCTAACCGATTTTATGGGTAAGTAACAGCTCAGCAGGATTTGATCTTTGTGCTGTAAAGGAAATAGCATTGCAACAGCATTTAATAAGAGCAGCTGTAGAAAGGTAGAACCCACTTACTTCTCAAACTGTCCCCCTGACAATTGCTTTCAGACACCATCCCAAGTTCTCCTGTGCTCTGGAAACTTGTGAAACAGTGGAGATAAAATGTTTTGAAGAATTGGAAGAACAGTAAAGGTCATATAGATTCTAATGGGAAATTAATTACTCCATTCACACTGCTGCATCTCTGGAATGAAGGTGCCTTCCTTGTTTTGTGAGAGATGAGAAATGGAGTAAAAGATGAGATGGAGGCTTTACTAAGTTTTGGACAGTTGCAAACTCTAGAAATTTCCATTTTCCATGCCTCCACTGAAGGGAATTATCCTCATCCTGCCTCTAAAGCATCCCAGTAGGAAGACTGCTGCTGCAGGGAGTCAGTCATAGCCCCAGGAATTGTCTTTGACCACTTGTAGTAGCTTGAGATGACGTTGAAGTGTAAGGAAGCTTTGATACCACGTAGATTAGTTTGCAGTTCCAGCTTCACATCAGGGTTTCAAACTACATGTTGTGTCCTTGGACAAGGTTTGTGGGGGATTTGATACCTCCTTTGGAATGACATGAGGAAAGGTTGCAAGAATATGCATCTGAGATCATATTTTAGGTATCAGTTTAGAGTTTTTAGGGCCCAGAAACAACTGTTGGATTTATTGCCGGCAGAGATCGTCCCTGCTCATCCCAGAGCCACCCACTGGGACTGAGCCCCGTGGATCTTTTGGGTTCGTGTCACCCTCGCAGTGACAGAGCAGAGGGGTTTCACTGCAGTCTTTCTGTGCCCTCTGCTGGCTCATTCGTGAAATAGGAGGTGATTTTTATGGAACAGCAAACCTTCCCTTTTTCCCTAGGATTTTGGATTTTATCTCCAGAAAGTTTGCAGCCTCCTGCTTGCTTCTGGCTGTTGTGGCTGTGCACAGACACCAGTTGTGTTTGTGGGGCCGTTCTCCGGGGGAATTAGGATTGCCAGAAGTGGGACAATGACATTTCTACAGGCTTGCCAACCTGGGCAAGCGGTGTGTGAACCATGGGATGAGGTGCCAGGCCAGTGGGATGCCCAGGTTTTCCAGACAGTTTGGTTTCAGGGCTCTGTAAGGCGCAGTGTGATCAAACTCACTCCTCAGCATCACAGCAGATGCTTCTCTTGAGCAGCTGTTGAGTTTTTGCCTCTTAGGGGCCAACCTGTCCCAGTGCTCCCTGCTGTGGAGTGTGATGGTGCTCTGAGTGGCCCAGAGGGCTGGGGCAGGGTCGGTGCTTTCAGGCATTAATAGGTTTGGTGGTTCCTGCACTGTGTGCTCTGTGTGGGAAAATGGGAGCCTCTCCCTGTGCAGTGGGTCCGACTGGAAGCACAGGCTTACTGATTTGCCTGAGCGTGCACATGCCAGAGGATGGGTTTGCAGATCTGCTGTCTGATAGCTGGGGCATATCTCAGATCCTCCCACAGGTTTGGGGTTTTGCTTTAGTGCAGCTGCAAGTGTCTTTTCACGAGAGGAAGATACAGCAACTTTTTTTTCTGTGTTTGATGAGAAGTTGCAGGTGATGCCCAGCAAGTTCATAGTGACCTTTAGCTTGAGATTGTTTTATTGTCTCTCTGCTGCAGAACATGTCGGGAGCAGCTGCAGAGATGGGATTGCTGAGTCAATTTATTCCTTCCCTCCCACTCTTGAATGGCACTGACCAGGAAGTGGTGTCTTGGAGAGTTGATCTTCAGAGCTCTCTTCATCTCCTGGTTATTCAGTTCCTCAGTCTGCTGCTTACAAAAGACTTTATAGTCCTTCCAAATTAAGAAACAGTGCTTTACTTTCCAAATCCTGCTGTTGCCAAAAGAGCACTGTATTCCTGTCTGCAGTGAGGTGCAATTTACTTGCAGAATTAAGATTTGGGGTATTTATGGCTTTCAATATGGTTATGTCTGACAATCATCTTATTTTTAGAGAAGACAAAACCTCTAAAGCCTATCTCCAAGCTGTTCAGATTTTTGTATTCGTAATAACCATGAGGTGCTAGGAAAATCTTGAATTAAAGCCTATATTTAGTGCTATCTGTAGTGGGGTAGAGGTTTTTTTTGGGAAACATATTTTTAGCATTGTCAGGGAAAGGCAGGTTGAGTGTGCAAAGCTGAAGGGCTTCGCATGTATATATAACCAGCCACAGAACACATGGATAATTGAGATTTCCACATGTTTTGCTTGTTGTGTCTCATTCCCAGGCTCAAAAGTTACAACAGGCCACCTCTGTGGTGCCATCAGAGTAGTGATAGGAATGGGAACCTCTGGGTCTGTGCTAAAGGGGCTGTGTGTGCAAAACTTCCCTGGATGGAAGGTTTTCTTTGGCTTTTACCTCCTCCCAGCTGTTACCCAGCCCAGAGGAGTGTCCTGGGTCACTGGATACAGTGCTGGGAGCAGGCAATGGGAGATGGAGCCTTAATTCATCCACAGCTTCCCACTGTGCCTTTGGGGTAATTACAGCCTGTCTGCTTTAAATGAAAATAAGAGCCCATCAGTGAAAACGGGCTGCTGGAGTCCTGAGACATCCACCAAACCATCCCAGGCACTCAGCTATTATCAGGGCCCTGGAAGTGTGATGGGTGTATCTCTGATGGGGGGCAGAAGCCTCCCAGAAGGAAACACCTCCTGTCTGCTTCTCCTGACCTTTGTCAAATGATTTTTCTTCTGATTTCTTGACTCTAAGATTATACACAAGACTTCCATGGTGTCACATGTCATAGAGAATAAAATGAAAAGTAGGAGTTTGAATTGTGATGTTTTTACAAAGGACATTCCATTCTGCAAAATGTCACGGCACAGTTGTCTTTTTCAGGAACTTTTCCTCCTGGAATAGAAAAATAAAAGTTGGAGTGAGGAAACCTCCAACATTTTTCTCCAGTTAGCTCTATATGCTAATTCTTTGGGTTACCAACTGTTAAGGTATAACTGGGTATTTGACCACTATATGGGTGCTTCCATCAACTGGAACTATTTTACTCATGCAAGTAATATTTGATAGACCAGTAACATGTCTTGTTAGCTGATGTCATCAGTCAGCTCCAGAGAAACTGCTGTGATAATTTCTGCTTTCCTCTGTGAATCTTTTAGGAAAAATAGTTGGTCTAGTTTTGCTAAAAATGTACCTGGGTGTTTTCAGAGAAGGAGGTCCCAGATTTCTTATAAGTGCTGTGGTTTGCCCCATCCTTGCTTTTGGACCATCTGAAACATCGCAAGGGCTGTAAGGTGTGTTCTCCCAGGAGATAAGACACACTGTAATAACTGAAAAAAAGGACAAAACCAATTGCTGTGGTGGCTGCTACAAACATTAGAGAGAAAATGGTGTTAGAGGGGTGTGTTGTTGATGACCCCTGTAATGGATGGTCAGAGGAACCTGCAGAGATTCCCCTCATGGGCCTGCCCCTGATCTGTGACTCACCAGCTTCACCTGGGACCTGCCTGATGATCTGAAGTCTGGCTGACCCTGGCTGCCATCTCCAGGCCTGGCCTGGTCCTTTGCTCTGGTGGGGCTGGCGGGTGAGACCCCATCCTGCCAACCAGTTTATGTCCTTGGCTGCTGTTTGCTATCCCTTAGCAAGCAGCCAGCCCTCATTGCACATTGTGAAGCCAACCCCAGATGTTTTATCTGGTCCTGTGTCCTCAGCACCAGCTAATTCCCTCCTGCATGTGCTCCTGCTGGGAGCTGGGAACGTGAGAGTAGCCTAAATGCTGTGCTGGAAGCAGATAGCTCCATTGGTGTTACTCCCAGAAGTGCCTTGGTCGCTCAATGCCACTGGGAGCTGTTGGACTCAAACACTGCTGTGTTCCAGGGATGAGCCCCCTGCAATGGGGGCACTGGGGGCTCCAGCAGCAGAGCCAGCAGGTCTTGATCTCGCAGTCAGACATGCAGCGGGCAGTCCGAGGTGTGCTCTGTCCTGGAAATTCTGTGTATTGTTATATGTTCTGTGATTGCTTTGCCTGAAGTTTGACTCACTGGTAAAATTCTTCTCTGTCCCTTCTTTTGGCAGCCAGTGTCCCATCCTCCTCAGCCGTCCCCACAAGCGCCACCCTTCAAGGTCTTGGTGGAGAGGTGCCGCTCGGAGCCGCTGTCGCAGAGCACCCCGCAGGGGCTGGACCAGCTGGGCGGGCGCATGCAGCACCTGCTGCGGCGGCGTGGTGAGTAGCTCTGCATCTTCCTCCCCCGGGTGTCTCGGTGCCACCCCTCCTGCAGAGCCAGCCAAGGGTGGGATGGGTGCAAAAGTGAGGAATGTGGCTCGTTACACGCCTGGCATCAGGTGAGGGAGCTCCGATAGCCCCATACTGAGGAGTTGCTTTCTGGCTAATAAGGTCTCTTTGTGTATAGCGTGTTTAGGAAATAAGGCTGCTTTCTCTCTTTAATGTGTCTGAACACAGTCCCTGTAATTTGGTTATGAGAAGATGAACAGGTAGGCACATAAGGTGTAAAAGGTGTTCAGCAACTTCTGTGTGAGTTTACATTTGGTAGTTTTCTCTGTCCTCTTAGAATCCTCTGTCGTGAGTACTCATCGTTTGGAGGTGGTGAGTGGTGATGGATGCTGAGATCACAACTCAAGTCTCGTTTGTTGGGAAAGACAACAAGAAGTGAGGAGTTGTTTTTCCTCTTGTGCTTGGGTACTTTTCTTCATCAAGAAGGGAATCTCATGAGCCAAAGACTGGGGTGAGCTGTCCTGCGTTTGTCCTGCTCACGATGCTAGAGAGAGCACTACGGAATGTATTTGCTGGCAGGGTCTTGTGTTGGCAGGTAAATTGGCTGATGGTTGAATAGATGACATCATTTTTGAACCTCCTAATTAAAGAGATTGATAATTAGAGTAAGGAGATGATTTCCTGAAGGGATACTGCTGGCATGAAGAATCCTGTGATTTAGCAATGGGCAAGCACGGGAGTGCTGCCAGACTGTGCTGGCATCGCTCGGGAGCGCACCGGGGATCCAAGCAGTTGATGGATGGTGGCAGCACATCAGGGTTGAGAACAACTAGGAAGGACAAGGCAAATTGGCTGCCTCTTCTGTGAGTTGCTGGCTGTGCTGTCGGGGTGCACACGTTGCTGGCACATGGGGAGTCACCCACATCTCAGCGGGAGCGTTCCCAGGTTTACCGCCGCTCCCAGGTGCTACTCCATGGCCCGTGGGCGCTGGAGCCGGGAGCAGCCTGCTGCTATAATCGGCATCGTGCTGCAGCCTGGCTCTCCCTGAGCCTCCAAAGTGAAGTGTGTATTGCTAAAAATAGCAGCAGGCTGCCTGCATCAGCATCAGTGTTCAGGAAATAGGTCTCAGTGCAATCTCTCTCCCAGCAACGCTGGAAGAAAATCAGGATTGCTGCCCACCCAGCCTGCAGCAGGGCCCCTGCTCCGCTGCTCTCAGTACTGGGCAAAGCAGGGCCCCAACCTGTTTGGTTTGGGGGTCTCCACTCTCCCAAAGCCTGGGACCATTTGTGCTGGTTTCAAACCCCTCATGACTGACAGTCTGAAAGCTCTGCCTGGGTTAGAGGCACATAAGGAAATAGAAATTCAGCACTGTGCATCTTGTAGGGAAGAATTCTAGAATATGGCTGTTTTCTGTAGGTGCCTTTCTCCGTGAGAGGGATGACAAGGCTCCAGGGGTTGGGAACAGCCGTGGGGGTGTGGTTACACATCCATGTGCCCTGCCTGGCCCACACGTACCTGTGCTGGCAGCTGCTGGGGGGCAGGTGCGGTGCCCAGCCCTGTTTCCTTCCTCCCAGTGCCTGTGCCTCCAGGCCAGATGGAAGCCTGATGGAAAAAGGGATTAATCGCTTGCTAATTGTGGGAGGGAAAGACTCTGGTCTCACACAGAATGGCAGCCTCACCTCAAAATGAGAGTGGGATAGGATGGGGAGATGAAAATTTGGGTTGATTGGAAAAGTAGAGCTCATTTGCCTCTCCTTTGCAAGCTGCTTTGTGCCTGGGTACATGCCATCTGCAGGGCCAGGCTGAGGTTTGGTGTAAGTGGTATTGCTTGCTTAAAACTAGAGCAGAACTGCATCTGTGAGGGGCTGGCCTGAAATGCTTGGGGTGAGAACTAGCCCAGTTTCCTTAAAAAAAACAAGCTTTTTTTGCCTTTTCCATTTTTGTTTTCTCCAAGACCTGGCGTCATATAGCCCACAGTGACTGTCCAGCTGGGAATTCTGCAGGTCCTGCTACAGTGGTGCTGGTGTCAGTGATGGCCAGGGAGCTGTTGCCCTGTGTGTGCAGACGGGGGTCTCCTGCTTCCTGGAGCTCCTGGCGGAGCATCCTGGCTCCACACCCAGACTGTCTGACCCCACCTCGGGATGTGGCTCCAGGCTCTGCTCTCTTGTGCCTGTGTTTTTGTAGTATCCAAGCTGCACTATTTCTCTTGTATCCCAAGAGCACTGAATAAAGCACCTAAATATACCCTCTGCTCTCTTTTTCTAAAGGAGAGGTTGAATGAGTCTCTTGCAAACAATTTTGTTTCTTTCATTTAAAAGAACAGCCTCCGCCCCCAGCCTGAGCTAAAGCACAGCATTTATCTTTTGTCATTCTTTTTTTTTTTCCCCCTTCCTGTGGATTTTCTCCTGGCAGCTGAGAACGAACAGGCTTCAAAGACTCTGAAGGTGCGCGGGAACTGCAGGAACGGTGGCCGTCGGTGGAACCTCTTCAAGCCTGGAGCTGAGAAACTGCAGATCAGTAGGGTAAGGTGCAGTGTGGAATGTGCCTCTGCCTGTCTCAGGGGTGGGATTTACCTGCTATGTGTGCAGCCTGGCAAACTAACAATCTGCTTTGCTAACAGCTCCCTCAGGCCGTGGTTCCTCCAGCCACACACGGGGATTTTTTTGTTATTAGAGTTATTTGGTGGCAATAAAAGAACAGGTGTATTATGCTTTCCCCTGAATTAGCTTTCCTTCAATGTGTATTGGAATCTTTCTGGTGTGATGGAGGCACTGAGCCTCCATTCCCTGTGGCTGAATGTCCCTTGCAGGTGATGTTCCACATCACCTTTAGATCTGCTCCATGGTTTTGATGGATTTATTTTTGCCCCTCCTTTTTTAGTCATGTGTCCTTTGAGTTTGGTACTGCCCCCAGCACCGTCTCAGTGACAAATTCATGTCATTGATTCTCTCCCAAAGTGTTTTGCAGATAGAGGCACAATCCACTTTGTTCTTTTTCTGTGAATGATGCTTCTCGCAGGGGAAGTAAAAGCTGTCGTGGGCCTGGGGATGTTCACGTCTTTCTCTGGGAAAAATTCAGGAAAATATGGCAAAAATTGCATAATTTGTCTGATACGTTTCCTTGCTTGGGTGGGGCTTGGTTTTTTTTGCTGTGCTTGAGGTCTGGAGACCTTGGCTATTCCATGATCTTGTTTTGGATTTGTAGTATTTGTGAGTCTGGTTTCACTGGTACCCAATATATCACACTCTGGGTTGTCCAAAACCCAACAGATTTTCTAGCTTGCAATGTAGTGCAAGGAGAGTTTTCTAGTGAGTATGGCAGAAGAATTTTGGCCCTTGTTGTTCCTCTAGGACAGACAAACACAGGATGATCTGGGAGCCAGGAATTTCCCTGCTGGAATCGAGAGGGGGGACTGACCTGTGGTTGTGTCTCTGTGGCTCTTTCCCGCCCCACTACTGTCCTTCCCTACCAGACCTCTATTGTATTCGTTTTCCCTTTGATATCTGATGAACTGCCTTCCTGAAATGTGATTTCCAGGGAGGACCTGGCCTCTGTGCCTGTTTTTCCATCATACAAGCAGTAAGTTGGCAGTAAATGAGACTGACTTCTCCATCCTTGGGTTGGGTGTTGGATTCCAGGGAACACGTGCAGGGATGGACCATTGGTTTTTCGGTCACTTGTGCCTTTCTGGGATGCCATTTTGCATCACTGCTGTTTTCTTTCCTGATTTTTTTGTGGGCTGAGATAAAAGCCAGAGGGATAGATAAGACAGGGAGTTCAGCCCTTCCTTTTCTCTCCCTTCCCTTTGGGTCTTACCTTGCTTTCCAGACATGAACTGCTTCTTTCAGCTCAGAAAGGCTGTTTTAGTTTTAGACAAGCTGAACATCCAAAGCTTGGATCATCTAAGTTCCTGGAAGATAGATTCAGATCCAATAAAGCTGTTTGTCCTTGGGGCCACGACAGAGGCAGGTGACTGCAGAGCAGTACAGCAGTGAAGTATCCTGTTGTACAGTGTGCAGGTCTGACCTTGGAATGTCATCAGGTCTGCTATTCATTAACTGTTTCCATGTTCAGAATCTGGTACTGACCAGTGCATGGATATATTTGGTCTACTTTAATCACTTTATTAATCTCTGAAGAGGAGCCTTTGCAGCTTTCACAGCTGTCCTTGAGGCCCTCCTGGAAGCCAAGGTGCTGTTCTGTTTTGACACAGAATTGCTCCTGAATGGTCCATATCCTGAGCTGTTTCTGGTTGTATACAGAGCCTGATATGAGAGACCCTTAGAGAGCCAGTGGAAAACTGAAACCTCTGCAAACCAAAAGCCCTGCTGAAGTTTGAGAAGGCTTAGCTAAGAAACTCTGCTTCTCCAGTAGTGGTATCTAGGGAAGATGTGGAGCTGGAAGGGGACATGAGCTTCTCACGAGCACAGAGATCTGTGGGTGGTGTTTGGCTCAGACACGGCCATGCCAAAGGTCTGTGCACCACTGGGCAGAGAACAGAGACTTGTTCAGAGCTACCATTAGGCAGCTTGTTGCTCAGCCTGAATTATGGCAAACAGGCAGGTGTGAAACCTCTGCTGGGGTTTATAAATCAGGGGTACTGTGCCAGTGCTGCAAGAGCAGGATCTCTAAATGTGGCTCACAACAGCAGTGCTGGAAAACTCATCTGTTGCCTCTGCCCCAAGCTCAATGAAGATCTGCAGGTCTGTAAATCATCTCTTTGCCAGAAAGAAATTTGTACTCTGGCAAGATTTATAAATTTGAGGTAAGACTTGTGGGCTTGGCTGTGTCGCTTGTCAGGTGCCTTCACTGACAGCTGACACCAGTCAGGTGACAGAGCTAGTGCAGAAAGGGGTGATTTATACTTCCAAAGCAGAGGCCAGGCTTCTGCAGAAACTGTGCCTGATTTTCTTCTTGGATGGGAGTGTGTGAGCTGAGGAGAGAGCAAGAGGAGACTGGCAAAGCATCAGGCTTGTCTTAGGGGCACCAGGGCCATCCTGGCCCTCGGAGGGGTGAGGGTGGTTGTGCAAGAAGAGCACTGATACATTGGTATCACTGCATGGCCTTCAAAACTCCAAAGCTGTTGATGAGCAGCTGCTTTGTGAACCCTCAGAAGCTGCTTCTTCTTTGCTCTGCACAACGTGCAGATTTTGGCAAGAACATTCCCCTCTTCTTTCTTTTTTATTTCTTTCTTTTTTTTTTAATTGTGGAGTTGTATGTGTGAGTTAGAAATGGCATCTCTTAACTACCTGCTAACCCAGAAGTCTGGGCTGAGGGGCTGATCCTAAGCCCAAGGAGGAATCCCCTTATCAAGACCACCCTTTATTGTTTGTCACATCTGTTATCAGCTGACTGCATATTAAAAGAGAGCAGGGATGGCAAAATGTAGTTGAAGGAGAGGGGAGAGAAGGGCAAATGTCTCCATCTGATTTTTATCCTGGGAGTGCATGTGTGCATGCACAAACCTGTGTTTTTTCTTGCTGCTTGTGGCTCTATTCTCTTAACCAAAGAGTCTGCAAGTCTGGGCACAAGCTGGAGAAGTTTTCTGTGGAGTAGGTGCAGTTTATTGTTCCCACTTCATAGGAGGAATAAGAAAACTGAAGCACTAGAGGGTGGTACATGTAAAGCCATACAATTATTTTTTATTTCTCTCCTGATTTGAAAAAGCAGGTAAAAAATAAAGAGGGTCAAACTGACATGACTTCTGAAAGCTTTCAGTATTTTATTTTCTTTCCAGAGTACACTTTTCAGCCTGGAGAAAACTGCGTTGAAACGGTTTATGTGCAGAGCATTTTGGTTTAGCACTTAGGTCACTCAGAGCCTTTGCCCTTATGGGAGCAGTTTGGCACAATCAAAACCATCTTGCACAAGACCTCAAGGTACCCCAAACTGCAGACTTTGCCGGGATCCCCGAGGAAACTGGAAGGCAGCCCTGGCTCTGACAGGGCCCTCAGCATTGATCATGCCTCTGATTTATCCTCAGGCAGGTCCTGCCAGCTGGGACGTGGCTGATCCCTGGGGACCATGGACAAGGGCAGCAGTGAGTTACCTTCTCCAGCCCCAGAGCAGTGCTGGGAGATGTTTTATGATCTGGGTGGCAGAAGCAGAGGATGAGAGTCCCGTCCTGGACTGGCTTCATACTGACCCAAATCACTGGCCTCTGCTGCTTCCTATCAAGAAGGGACTTGTGGCTCCCAGTTGAAGGTGTCTCAGCTCTCTCCATAGGCAGACGCTACTCCAGGTGGGGATGGTACTCCAGGAGACTCAGCCCTTCCTAAAATGGGAACCATCCTCTCAATGTGTGGAGGTGTGTATTGGTTCTCCCTCTGTGACGAGAGATTTAGTTTTCAGCCTTTAAGTTCCCAAAGATGACTGCAGCCATTCCTGTTCTCTGCTCCTTTCCTCCCTTCCTGCCCTGCGTGCTCTTGTACAAGGGACTAAAGCCCAAACTTATATGCTGGAGGAAGCCACTGTTAATTAGCTGGAATGGAAACTTTGCATGAGAGCCAGCTTCTTTGACATCCCCTATACTAATAATAGGCAGGCCTGCTGTGCAGAGGTGTTGAATATTCACTAAACCCACCCCCCAGCCTGTCCTTTCTCCTCTGGAAGTCAGGAGCTGTTTCCAGAGGCTGGTGGGGGGTTGCCATTGCAATGATGGTGGATGTGTGAGTCTGCAGCTCTCCTGAGCTAATTCCCCACCAGTGTGTTTATGAGGAATAGGAAATTCAGACAACGTGCAGCCTCCAGGAGAACAGAGTGAAGGGGAAGTTGATTTGGGTTCTCTCTTGCTCACATTGTGCTGCAATGAACAGGGAATGCTGCTTGATATTCAGGGCCAGCTCTGCTGCTTGCTATTTTTATCCTCTCACATAATGCTGAGTGGGCATTTTGGGTAGTGGGGCGATTTTTTTTCCCTCTTTGCAATGTGTCCTGCATCGTGTTTCTCTTGCCTTGCACTTGGGGAGGAAGGGGCTGTGCTGGGGCTCATGGACTGCAGCATCCTGGTACGTGAGTGGGATGTAATCACAGGCATTTTGGAGTCCTCCTGTCCCTGTGAATAGGCTGAGAGAAAAGCACAGTCCCGTGGCTTTCTTGGTGCTAATTAGTTTAAATATCAGTGTGCTGCTACGAGAGGTTTATATGCACGTATGGAGGGCTGCCAGGAAAACACATCCTCTTTGAATCTCATCTTAAACATTGAGTGCTTTTGCTGGCAGGGTATGTCTGAGCTGTGTATTTTGGGGAGAGTTGTTTTATATCTTGATAAACTTATTACGTTACTCTACTTAGCAGTGCTCTGAAATCTTTATGTAGCTTTTTTCCTTCTTGAAGCCACTCTTGGGCATTTATAAATGTTTTTAGCAAGTTCTGAAAAACTGTCTTCTGTGCACAGTTGTTAAAATAAATAAAAACTGGCTTGCTCACTCGAGGAGGAGGCAGAGATTCAGTGCAGGCTGACAGGTCCTGGCGGCCCTGTCTCAAAGCCTCAGAGCTCTCCAGTGCAGTGATCCAGCCCCAT